GCCCCAGGTCACTGCCTGGAATACGCTAGGCGCACGATAAACGACTGTCAACTCTACAAGAAGAGAACACCCATGAGGGGAAAGTATGATGAGGTGACCTCAGTCCCAAGAGACCGTCAGTCCTTTTACAACTACTTCACAAGCCCCAGCTTCCAGAGGAGCGTCAGTGTGTGAAGTGGCTGGTCAGCCAGCCGTTTGCTGGACTCTGCAGGGTAATCCCAGCTCCTCTGGGAGACCTGGTCTAGACGGGGTGGTCAGGGGCCGCTTACTGAGGCCGACACTCTGGCCTCCTTCCCTCGCTGAGTGAACCCAGCCTGCCTGCCTCTGATGTGCCGGGCACGGCATGGGGTACGGTCCTGGGTCTGCAGGAGCTCCTGGCGCCACACCGGTCAGTGCCAGGCCGGTGGCGAGGGCCAGACGCTGTCCTGAGCGCCACAGCCTGTGCCTCCGCTGTGACCCCAGAGGCAGGACTATCGTCCTTGCCTCACAGACGAGGCTCGGAAGTTAAGGACCTCGCCCCAGGTCACAGAGCAAGAACAAGAGGAGCGAACAGGTCCGGGAAGGCTGGGTGTTCCGGGCAGAGCACAAGGGGCCCCACGGAAAGCCTGGGGAGTGACAGGTGGGGCGTCAGGGGCAGCAGGAAGCAGGTCGTCAGGGCCTCGTGGGCCACACTAGGCACTTGACCTTTGTCGTGAGAGGGGTGAGGAGCCTTGAAGGTCGTGGTGGCCAGACCTGCCTTCCAGAGTGTGCTGGCAAGTGGGGCCGGGTGGGGGCTGGCCTCACGGCAGGGGCCCACCCCGGCTTCTGCCTCCTGACCTTGGCCTGTGTGTTTCAGGGTGGCGTCCCCCGCCAGTGCCGGCACCCTCCACGCCCTGAGCCGCTACAGCCGCTACACGAGCATCCTGGACCTGGACCGGAAGACCCTGCGCTGCCCCCTCTACAGAGGCACCCTGGTGCCCCGGCTGGCGGACCACCGCACACACATCAAGCGGGGCAGCACCTACTCCCTGCACGTGCAGAGTGTGCTCACGCAGCTCTGCGCCAAGGCCTTCCTCTATGCCTTCTGCCGCCACCTGCACCTGCCTGCCCGCGGCACGGAAGCTGAGGGGTTGGCCGCCAGCCGCCAGGCCAGCTTCTTGCAGCTGAACCTGGGGCTGGTGAACGAAGACGTCAAGGTGGTCCAGTACCTGGCAGAGCTGCTGAAGCTACACTACACGCGGGAGCCTTCCGCAGCCGGCCAACCCGTGCTCAGGTTCGACTACGTCCCCAGTTTCCTATACAAGATCTGAGGTCAGGCCCGGCCACTGTGACCAAGACCTGTGACACGGTACGGGGAGGGCGTTGGCATGACCGGGGGTCTTCTGAGCTGTTTAGACTTCTGGTGTCGTTGGCGGGAAGGAAACCGAGGTGGCAGCCGTGGTTCCCAGATGGCTCTGGGCAAGGACGGTGGGGGCACTGGCCCCCTGGTGGCATCTGGAAGGACGGTAACAGCTCGCGGCCCCTTGGAGAGTGGCCTGGGGTCGGGACTGGGGGCCAGGGCAGAAGAAAGCTTCGGCACTGTGATGAGGGACAGGGAGGCGGAGCCTGCAGGGAGGACCACGCCGGCCCTCTTGCGCAGCAACATCAAGGGGAGCAGCCGTTAACTGGATGATTTGGTCGAAAGCAGGACGATGGAACGTCCATTGCCTAGTGCAGACCCCAGCAGGGCCTTTCGCGTGCCGTCGCGGAGCCGCCCTCCCAGGGGAGGCCCCTGGATGCTCCCTGCCCTGTCCTCACGTCCTCGCCAGGCACGGAGGGGCCTGCCGCTGGGCTCCCAGGCTCAGCGGAGTGACCAGTCACTGGCCCCTGGTCATCAGAACCGCTGTCGTGGGGGCCTGGGCACAGGCTTCCTGCTGTGCGGGCGAGGAGCCACCAGCTGTCCTGGGGGTGCCGACACTGTCCTCTCGGGGAGGGTCTGCAGGTGGGCTGGCGCTCGCCCGGCAGAGGTCACCGCAGACCGTCGCTACCACTTCACTACCTCACGGGGTGTCGCGGGCGCGGGGCAGCCAGCGGGCTGGGATCTCCTCCGGGAAGGCCGTGCCGGCCTGGAGCACGCGCACAGCAGCTCGTTCCGCCCCAGCTGAGTCCCAGCCCCACTTCCTGTTCACCCACCAGGACCCTCCTGACACAGTTACCACTGGTGTGTGTAGGTGGATGGTTTTTTGCAACCTTGAAAATGTCATACTTTTCTTCCTTAAGCTGTTTGTCCCTAAGCAGGGAGAACTCTTGGTATTACTGCTTTTTAATTTTTTTCCCCAAGTTGTGGTAAAGCGCACCTGAAGCAGCCATAGTGGTTGCTCCTGAGCATGCGTGCGTGTCTGCCAGGGCCGTGTCCTGTGTCGTCAGAGTCCTGCTGTTGAGACCTGGTCCGCCACCAGCTTTGCAGCACAGCGGCCAGGACCCCCTGGCGACCAAGGAGGCTTCGTATCATCTCTTTCCCATGGCCCTCCCTGCCCAGGCTTCTGGTCAGGGTCCCCATTCCTGCCAGAGTGTGATTCTGCTCCGGAGGCCGTGACCAAGGCCCACTGTGACAGGGCTGCCACCGCGTCTCTTCAGGTCCTCGCACCTGTGCTGTCACCTGTGTCCCCCGGAGAGGCGTCTCCAGGGACCACATGGCAGCTTCTGAACGTGCAGTGTGGGTGCTGGTGGGAAGGCTGCCCTCCTGTTACCACCGGCCCCCTTGTGTTCAGATGCTGCTTTGTTTTCTAGGTAGGTGGCTAATTGCATCTACTTGGGCCTCCTGGGACACGAGCTTGTGACACCTTATCTCCGAGGGAAGAGTGGTCCGTGGGGCCCAAATGACCAGATGGGAAGCGATCATGGGCCCACCCCTGTTTCGTTCCCGGGCCACCAACATGGCCTCTGCGGTTCACACCTCGCACCTGGGAAGCCAGAAAGGGCAGCAGGTCAGTCACACTGGCCTCCTAGAAGCGAAAGTCCACTCTGGAGGGTGTTTGTGCAGAAGCTCCGCCTCGGGCGAGCCCTGCCGGTGCGAGAAGGCCTGGCCGTGGGGCGGCCGCAGAGAGGGCACCCGGAGCCCCTCTCCTGAGCTGTTTCTTCATCGAGGAGTAGAGCTGTATTCGCTACTAGTGGCTGAACTCCAGCATTTAAATTTTGGTTAAAATCCAGCTTTGCAGTGTGGCAGTTTCACAGAATGCTTGATGCCAACCAAGTATGTTTCTCTTCAAAGGGAGCTCAAAGGGGAACCAGGCCCTCCCGGCCCCGCCACACTGGGGACTGGAACCTGCCAGGAGTCTCAGACGCACCTGAGTCTGAGTGGTGGGGGCCTGTGCAACAAACTCATCTCGTCGGGAATCTTAAGAGGTTTTCTCTGGTAATAGGTCAGCAAGCGTCCAAATGCTGAGAAACGCTTCAAAAATCAGAGGGTGTCCGTGCCCTTAATACTTTTTCAATCCTAAGTATTGCCTCGAAGGCCCAGGCACCAAAACCTTGAGGTTTGTTTCAACTTCACTTCCAGTCCATTACCTGCCCCCCAACCCTGCTTTTTTTTTTTTGCGGTACGCGGGCCTCTCACTGTTGTGGTGTCTCCCGTTGCGGAGCACAGGCTCAGCGGCCATGGCTCACGGGCGCAGTCGCTCTGCGGCATGTGGGATCTTCCCGGACCGGGGCACGAACCCGCGTCCCGTGCATTGGCAGGCGGACTCTCAACCACTGCGCCACCAGGGAAGCCCCCACCCTGCCTTTTTAAAGCAGTCCAGGTTAAGAAGAACCTGCCCAGGCTGGCATTTATGCAGTAGTGATTTCCAGAAGCTCCACGGTAGACATCAGCTGAACCCTTTTCTAGCACCTGTGGCCCTGGGGACCCTACTCCTTTAGTAGAATCTGGAAATGAGCTGTGATAGTCCAGCTGCCATTTCCTATCTAGCTCTGAACTTCTTGCTTCAGATCAGTTACTGTGTGCAAAGTATCATAGACTTCATCCCCAAACAAGTAACAAATCCCATGTCAAAATCCCAGGATGGCCGATAGATTCTCCCCAGAGTGCCAGGGCTGCTGCAGCTCGTGACACGTCCCCAGAGGCCCAGCGGCCTGGAAGATCTCGCACGCAGCTCGCCACCCACTCCACCACTGCTGGGCGCGTGCCCCCCCCCCCCCCCCTTCCCAGCCTGATGGCGCCTGGCCGGTCAGCTTCTCCACATGGCCCACGTCATCTTTGCACAGGCAGGAGCCCTCCTGGGCTGGTGCGGTCCATCAGTCCATGTGGACAGCCTTCGGAGGCACCAGCCCCCCAAGCCAGCATCAGCTCTTACCTCCCATCTCCCTAGAGGCTCAAGAAAGTGCCTTGGCTCGTGCTTTGAAGCAAACCAGCTAGCTTTCTGGCTTTTTCTCAATATTGTGATAGAAACTGATACAACTGGAATTTTTGAGAGAGAGATGGTATTAACATTGCAAAAAGGAAAAGTATCAAATCTCTACTTCTGGCTGGAAGGAAAACCAGCCTAGCCTCAGCTAAGGCTGGAGCACACCCAGCTGTTCTGAGCCTGTCCTGCTTTGAGGTTTGGTTTCAGCTGCAGGGAGGAGGGAGCACTTGGCCATGAATCAAGTGCTGGTCTGGGGCCTAGCCTCCCGGGAGTGCTTGTGTGGTGGCCTTTGTCTCCTGCGGGGGGGAAGAGTCAAGCTCCTGGGTGTAAGGCTGTTTCCACAGCTGCGGAGGTGGCAGCCGCCCTGCCCGCTGCGCTGGAGCCCTGGGGCGTCAACTGCAGCTGTGTTAAGGCCACGGTGAGAAGCATAGTGCGAGAGGACGTCGTGTTTGTCGTTTTTTGAAAAGCTGTATTATTACTGCATGCTCCTCGTCGTGTGTGAGCGTGAGTCCCACCGGGTGAGCCGTGGTCACTGCGGCCAGGGCGAGAGCACGCTGCACACGCCACACGCGTGCCTGCAGCTCCCGGTGTGGCTGCACCAGAGTTCAACCAGTCATGCCAAACGAATAGTAGGAGGTGTACTTTTTAAGAAATTAATTTATTTGAGTTATTTTTGAGATATAAAAATTGGTTGTATTTTTTAAAGCTATAATTCTTGTAGACATTCTGTGGTTAAAAATTTGTGCTTATTATAAATGGTCACCTATGTTTTGCACTTGAGATTTGTGAAAAATAAAGTTTCTGTGGGAAGGTGACCTCTGGTTTCCCGATCACGGGAGGGAGGTGGTTGTCTACTCAGCGGCTTGGGACCAGGTTTCCTGGCCTGCCTGCCCTGGGCTGGGGGAAGGGGATCACATCCCCCTCCTGCCCAGGTGCTGTAAGCGGCACTCCCACGGAGCTGGGTGGCACCTGAATAGACCCGTCTAACTTGTGATTCTGATTGAAAGCACAGCAGAAGGGCCAGGACGCTCCCTCCTCGTTTGCGACGGTTATAACTGAGTCCTCTTTTGGTGCCCACGGGGGAGCAGATAGCAACGGGCAGCTCTTCCAAGCTCGAACTTCGGTGCTTCTGGCTGCCGCAGCAAGTCAGGGAAGCCCAGGGACTCTTAAGAGTGGAGTCTTCCCAGTAACTCTGCCCTCCACCCGTCTGGATAATTAAGGCTGAATGGCTAAATTGTATTTCATTTTTCCAGAACAACTATGCGTAGCTGTGAGAAAGTGAGGTTCAGATTTAAACTCCTTAATAACTTGTCCCAGGATGACTAACACTGAGCCTTAAACAAATGTTGGTTTGTGAACAAGGTAAAAAAAGCAAAGTCCGAAACGGGACCTGTGTGGGGCCTCCAGGGCGCTGGGTCCCTGGGCGGGCGGGCACTCCTCTAGAAGTCGGGCAGGCCGGGCAGAGGGAAGAGGGCGGCGAAGCTCTCCACCTCCGCCCTGAGTGCCGCCACAGCCCGCTGGTGATCCTCGGCCCCTGCCAGCTTCTCCGTGAACTCCTTCAGGGTAGCCTTCACCCCCACGGTGTCCTGGATCTGCAGGGTCAGCTCTATCCCTGCACCAGCGAGAGACGCCACTGCCCACGTGCCCCCGGCGGCCGGGCCCGACTGCTCTGCCGTCCACGCGCCCGCCACCCTCTCAGCCCACACGGTCTGCTGGGCGATGCTCTGGCTCTCGGCCCTGCTCCAGCCTTGACGCAGAGCCGTCCTTCATCCCGACCGCACAGCCCCGTGCGGCCAGTGTCCACGCCTCTCCTCACCTCTGTGAATAAAATGGGCAACTTTTTGGAAATCTTCTTCCAAGAGTCCTCGGGATGTCAGCGCCGGGGTCCCCAAGCGCAGTCCGCTGGGCCGCAGGGCGCTTTTGTCACCTTCAAGAGAAACAGGCTCTGTCCCTGGGCTGCACCCGTCTCCCCACTGACTGTCGGGCACTGGGAAGGGGCTCGTGGGCAAAAGGAGTAGGCCCACGGACGCTGGCTCACACCTCGGCTGCGCTACTTGAAATATCAGGAGAGCCGCCTTTTGCGACGTGGTCCTTGCTCCTGACACCAGGGCAGCATCTGTCTGGGTTTCGGGGGCGTCACCCACATCTTATTCACGACCCGCTGAGAAATGCAGCCGGTTTACCAGAGGCCCCAGCCTCCCTCTCCCTCTCCGTCCCCAGCGGGGTCAGCGCCGTGTCAGAGGGGGCGGGCAGGGGAGCACGGCCTGGCCCCATCCAACGCTGCACATCTTGTCCCCAGAGCCAAGTCACCATCGGCCTTGAGAGGTGCAGACAGGAGAGGGCTGAGGACGCTCACCTGGGCAGGTGTTCTTGTTGCAGGCGATGGAACAGGCTTCCAGCACCTTCTCAGCCCGGCCGCCGTCTGTGCCTTTAGAGCGGAGGTCCACGAGGATCAAGTGGTTGTCAGAACCACCTGGAAACCAGGTTACACACATGGAAGCCAACCCCGTGCCGAGCCAAGGGATCTTTCTCTTTCAAAGAAATGGGGGTGTGTGACCCCCACCACGTGTCCTGCAGGGCTTTCATCACCTGCTGAAGACCACATACCCCAGGGCCTCAGAGTTTGAGAAGAAGCAGAGTAGTTTAAAAAGGGAACCTGAGGATGCAGAGGGGGCTGAGGGCAAACGGCCAGCCCAGGCGGCCTGCCGCCACATCCCAACCTGTCAGGTGCCAGGGCAGCACCTCGAAGCCTGTTGGGGTGATGACGTCATCTGGGAATGTGCCCCTTCTCGCTAAGTCCACCCTCAAGGCTCCCTCTAAGGGGGCCTCAGAGTAGCGGGCAGTGGGCAATCTAGGTGACAGGGTGACGGGCACGTCAGGTGCAGACACTGCCAGCCATTGTGTGCTTTAACCCCAATCCTGCGAGGATGATGGTGCAGAAGAGATAAGGAAGAACTTTCTGGAACGGCCCAAGGAATCTTCCAAGCACCCGATCTTCACTTTGAACTCTAGTTAATCCCTGGGTTAACTAGACCCCCATCGCTGACTTAGGCGATGACCGCGGCTTCAAAGACGCATGTGGCCTAAGCAGATGCACGGCTCTGGACCCACAGCCCCCTTGCTTGCCACGTGGCTTTAGGAACCTCAGACGCCCACTTGTAAAATAAGACCAGTGATTCCCAAAGCTATCTCGAGGTTTGAACGAGGTCATGTATACAGAGCTGCGGGGATCCCGAGTCACCCCAAGGCTGTGGCCACCGTGCCCAGGCCACGACCCTACAGCCACACCCTGACAGGGCCGGGACGGGCTCGGTTCCTGTCGTACCTGTGGCCACTTTGTAGCCCAGCCCCATCAAAGTCTCGGCCAGAGCCCTGCAGTTGGCCAGCACCTGGCGCTGGTAGAGTCTGAACTCCGGAGTCATGGCCTGCTTCAGAGCCACCGCCACCCCTGGCAGGAGATGAAGACAGACCGTGAGTCAAAGAAACACCCGTCTCCACTCGGGCTTCCCAGCTTCTCAGTGTCACCCAGGGCGGCAGGTTACATCTCCTCCCAAAATGATCCCTTTTAACCCTGCAATTGCCCGGCTAAGCCTCAGACCTCTCTCCCTGAGCAAGTGCTTTTGAGGTGGCCTCTCTCCAGCATGAAGTTTCGGGCTAAGGAAATCACCAGAGGAGAGCTGTTCCCAGCAAGATGGATTTTATGTCCTTTTTAAGCTCGACGTGTGTAAACGGATCACTTAGCTGCTGATGCTTTGATGCCAAATTATGCACCTTTCAGAGCAGAGTCCAGATGAGAGGTACAGGCCTGATCTACCTGCACACCCAGACTCCTCTGGGACCTTGTTCGATCCCCAGGGCTGCTTACAGGGGCACAGAGATGGAGGAGGATGCAAACCACGTGCCCACGTCCTGGCACAGGAGCCCCCAGTCCGTGTGTGGAGAACGGCCTGGAGAGGCTGGAGGGCTGGCATCCCCCACTGGAGGGCGCTGAGCGGGTGGGTGTAAGGGGAGCGGCCCCTGCCCACTCTGGAGCCTAAAACTCCCCCTTCACTGCTCCCTCCACACCCCTTCTCTTATACACCGGTACTTCTCCTGACGGTCTCCCAATGGGGACAGGACACCTTTGTCCTGGCTCCCCCACCAACTGCTGTGCTCCAAAGACGGAGTAAAAGCTCTGAGGTCATCAGATTTTCTAAGGCTCGGGTACAACCAGAGAAGGAGTATGTCTATGACAGCTGCTGGGCCATCATGGAATAGGACCTAGGAGGTACCAGCGTGGCCCCAAAGTCAAGGCCGAGGGTCAGACACGGGTGTCGCCGTCCTCTCCCCTGGAGGCCAGGAGACCAGGGGAGGGCCGCCCGCACGCCCACGTGCTCCTTCGGCTGTGCAGTCTTCCGTTGTCAGGTCCCCTCCCCGCGGTTTCTCAGGGGCTCAGGTGGGGCCTGCCCGACTCAGTGGAGTGGCCGTCACCTCTGCCCCTGATGACATATGCAATGCTCCCCTTCCCTGCCTCGTCAGCACCTCTTAGACAGTGCACACGCTCTGGGGGACGGGCTATGGGGGAGCCGCCCAAGGCGTGTGGCCACGGGGCCTGGGCAGGTGGGTCTGCATTACCAGCAATGGCGTGGTTGTGGGGGCCCCCTTGCAGGCCTGGGAACACGGCAGAGTTGATGAGTGACTCCAGGTTGTAGCGAGTCTCTCTGCCCGTCTTCGGGTCCACGCTGCGCACTCCTGGACAAAAGACAACACGAACATGGGACAGGCGATCCCCTCTGTTTTCTCCCCACCTGGACACAGACCCGGCCCCACTCCTGGAGGCAATGCTGCAGGCCAGGGAGGGTGCTTGTTCCCAGGGGGGCTGGGTGGGGGAACCACCCTTCCTTTGACCCTTCAAAGGTCAAAGGAAGGGGCTTCCCTGGTGGTGCAGTGGTTAAAAATCTGCCTGCCAGTGCAGGGGACACGGGTTCGAGCCCTGGTCCGGGAAGATCCCACATGCCGCGGAGCAACTAAGCTCATGTGCCACAACTACTTAGCCTGCGCTCTAAAGCCCGCGAGCCACAACTACTGAGCCCACGTGCCTAGAGCCCGTACTTGGCAGCAATGAGAAGCCCGTGCACCGTAACTAGAGAAAACCCGCGTGCAGCAACAAAGACCCAATGCAGCCAAAAAAAAAAAAAAAGAGGTGAAAGGAAAGATGAAAATGCCCCTCCACTGAGATAGTAACAAAGAATACGCCTCGGGCATATTTCCTCAAAGAACTGTCCAAGAGAGCAGTCTTCCAAGATGACTCCTTTGGGGGAGATGTGACTCATTTGGCCAGAAACGGAGAAGAAGCTTCCTTTCTGAGAAAAGTTAAGGACCAGTAATAAGAGCTGCCAGTGTCTCCATGGAGCTTCTTGTGAGCCAGGAACTGCTCTGAGCAGTTTCCCTAAATTCATTCATTCGATCCTCACAACAGCAGTCCCCAGGGCCAGGTACTATTATTATGATCCCTACTCTGGACGTGAGGGACTGAGGCACAGAGAGGCTGCACAACTAGCCAAAGATCACACAGCACATCCATGGCAGAGCCAGGACTTGCTCCGCCTGGAGGGTCAATCGAATATCACCAACATACAGTGGGGAAAACAAATGTCTCCCCAGCAGGTGGGAAAGGCCGCCTGCCTCAGAAACCTGAACACAACTGAGGAGGGGACTCTGAGGGGCACAGAGGCAGCAGGGCCCTGAGAAGCCCAGTGGGCATATGGTGTATCCAGTCCTGGCCAGCGGCTGGGCAAGGGGGTCCCGCAGGGGGTAAAAAGAGATGCGGTCACCAGAGGGGGGTTCTCTCTGCTGACGTGAGGTTAGTGCACCGGGACTGAAGACTATGGGACCCTAATCCTGCTTCTCAGGAATGGGACTCCCAAATAAGGGGACACATGCACGTAGGCTCCATTATGGGGAGGAAAAATTCCTCACTCAAACGACAAACTCCTACTACGGTTTACACATCAGTGTCTTATGGTTTGATTACTGAGTCTGTCTCTGGGAGAAACATGCTACAGTAAGTTCACCAAAATAACGCTGCACTGCGAGGTCTCCTAGAGCCCTGCCAGCCACGCACACCCTCCTGTCACCCCAACATCTTCCACTCAACAGGATAAGTTGAGCCACAGGACGCTGGCCCCCAGGACACCCTTCCCCTTCCCCCTTCCCCCGGACCTGGACAGCTGTGCTCAGGGCTTCCTGCTCCTTACAGCATCTGGGTCAGTCTTCCCAGCTCCCTAAACCGACTGTGGGCCCCAAGAAGAAAGGCAGCCCCGGCCCCGCCAGGAGCGCACCCTTCCTGTAGAAGATCATGCCGGCGCGGCAGCCCCGCAGGGTCTTGTGGGTGGTGGTGGACACCACGTGGCAGTGCTCGAAGGGGGAGGGCACCACGCCGGCCGCCACCAGCCCACTGATGTGTGCCATGTCGGCCATGAGATACGCCCCGTTGTCGTCAGCGATCTCACGCAGCCGGGCGTAGTCCAGGTTCCGGGAGTAGCAGCTGGTCCCTGAGACGGCAAGGGTGACACTGAGTCAGCTCGAGAGCAGAGCCGCCTCTGGGCACGATGTCTGAAAGCCACCCTTGCCCCCTCTAAGGCCTGAGGACGGAAACGAGGGACGCCTGCAAATCCCACCTGTGCCAAAGGCGACCCCCTGCTCTCTGCCCCTGTGTTGCGTGGCTGGGGCGGCCCCTGGCCATTAGCAGCCCAACTAGGCAGGGGCCAACGTGTCCAGATGCTTCTGGGGAACAGTGCAGGACTAATGGTCCTGACAGAAAAGGAAACAGACCCAAGCAGCTCAGCTGCGCGGAAGAAACCAGCAGGGAATGAGGACAGGGTGGGAACAGCACACAAGCTTGTTTGTGAGAGGCTGGGGCCCTGCCGGGCTCCTCACCTGCGATGATGAGCTTCGGGTGGAAGAGGCGGGCATTCTCCTCCAGCTGGTCGTAGTTGATGTAGCCGGTGTCGGGGTTCACCTGTGGACAGCACGGAGACGGGGGCTTGGGCCACTTCTTCCTGCCTGGCTGTCGAGGGTAAGAGGACTCCCTCCACCTGCCCAGAGCTCTTTGCTGCCCTCGCTGCCAACCAGGACTTGTGGGCGAGACGGGGCACAAGCGCTTAGGCAACCAGGCATCATGGCTCTCGGACAGGATGCCCTGGGGGTCCTGGGCGAAGAGCGAGCCCTGCTTCTGACTCGCCGCAGAAGGAACCAGAGGGACAAACATGCAGCACGTGTGCGGGCGCGAAGGCCCGGCCGCCTCACCCCATGTCCGTCTAGTCCAGACACATGAGGCGAAAAGAAGAGAGAAAGGCTCGGGGGCCCAAAGGCCACCCAGGCCGACGCTACTCGGACACCTCGATTGTGCACCACGAAGGCCTGGGCACCAGAGGTGAGCCCCTTAGAACCAGTAACGGATCAGCAAGGCCCCTGGTTACAGGGCTGAAAAACAAAGGTCAATTATATTTGTGTGTGTATATATATATATATAGGCAGGAAAAAATAGAATACAAAATTTTAATAATATCATTACATTAGTTTTGAAAAACTGAAATATTTAACAAAAGATGAACAAGACCTCTGCACAAAGCACTATTGAGAAAAACTTAAAAACACCTAAAAAGAGTAATTAAGGCAGCGTGTGCTTGCAGGACGATCTGACAGACAGAACTGAGCCCAGAAGCAGAATCCCTTGTGCTGGAAGGCCACCCGCATGGTGAGGACAGGGGGTGGGGGGGGGCCTGCAGGAAGGAGGCCTTCCGGTCGCAGCACTAGGCCAGGTGGGTGCCCACCTGTCGCCGGGGCGCCGACCTCACCCCATACACAGAAATCCCTTCCCCGCAGACCACGGATCCATGTGCAGCATGTAAAACACAAAACCTTTTTTTTTCGGGGGGTCGGGGGGAACTCATTTCCTAGTAATTTCAGTTTATTAAAGTTGTGTTAAAGCACTTGTGCTGGGGAGTGGGTATAACCACAGAGGGGTCGCTGTAGGGAGACTTTAGGGGCATGGGAGCCCCTGGGGAGGAGGTGGTTGGAAGCCCCTGCCCCCGCGGGGGGAGGATTCAGGTTGGGTAGGCGCCCTTTCCAAATGAAAAAGGTGCCTACAGCTTAGCACAGTTACAGAGCTTGTGTGAGACGTCGCTGGGACCGGCGGAAGGATGCTCTGGGGCTTGGTCTGGGGCTTTGTTTCAAGGGCGTGAACCGGTTCCTCCTCAGTCAGCTGAACTCGGTGAAGAAACTGTTGTCTTAATAAAAAATCAACAGCTGGCCCACAGTAAAAAATTGGACATAATTCTAAAAAAGTTTTAAAAGAGACTGATTACCAAAAAAAAAAAAATCTGTTGCTACTCTCTCCCTCCACATTTTGCTTTTTAAATTTGTGGGATTTTTTAAAAAGGTTTTTTGTATCTTGAAAATTCAACAATACAACAGCTCCTGGAAGGATTCACAGGCATTCGTCACAGGGCAGCAACAGGAAGTGGAGAGGAGAGATTCCTGCTGCGGTTCCTGTCTGCCCGTGTGGGGCGACTACCGGGAGGTGACGGTCCCCCAGAGAGGGCAGGGGAGGGGCCTGGCAGGGAGGCAGCCCGGCGGGCAGAGGAGGGAACCCGCTGGCTGGATTTTTCAAAGAGCAAAGTTAGCTCAGCGAGCGTAATGCTGCGCGGCTGCCGTGGCTCGGTGGGTGGCGGGGCACGTGGAAATGACCAGGGGCGGCCATTCGACAAGAAACACCGGAGACGGGTCCAGACACAAGGAAGCAGCACCCTGTGCACCACAAGTCACGATGCAGGTTACCTGCTTTCCACCCCACTCTGGTCATCCCTGTTGATAAGCCGCCACGCCTCCACAAGCCCACCAACCTTACATGCGGTTTTTGACCACACTGTTTATGATGACGAGGGCTGGTCCCATGCCGGGCACAGGCGGGTACTGGGTGCAGCTGGCTGAAGTCAGGTCTGGCAGGGGCGGGGGTGTAGACACAGGCTACTCTCACCATGCCAGGCGTGGGTGGCCGCACAGCCCCAGCTCTAGCCCCCTACCTGCAGGGACTCGGCCGGCGTGGAGGGCTGTGTGCTGGGGCCAACCCTGGGGGGTCTGGCTGTCACACACCCCCCCGGTTCTGGACCAGCCAGCACCCCGACTGCGGCTGAAAGCCGTGGTCAGTCGCCTCCCCGCCCGTCTCCCTGCGCCTCAGCTCAGCCCCTAGCGCTCCATCCCCTGCGAGCCCTGAGCGCCCGAGGGTCCCCAGGGCAGGGAAAGGACAGTGACAGGGGTACTCCCTGAGGTGCCTGGGAATGAAGCTCTGTATTCCCATGGGCGCGCCCAGCATTGGAGGCTTTGAGAACAGGCTGTGGAGCTGCGGAGAGACACACTTGTACCTTGTAGGGCATAGATTCGAAAAAGATGGACGTAGCGGAGATCTTCTTCTTGTTGGTCATGAACCCGTGGGTCAGGTGGCCCCCGTCGGGCAGGTCCAGGCCCATGATGCGGCCGTGGGGCTCCACCAGGGCTGTGTACACCGCGAAGTTTGCGGGGGAGCCTGGAGCGGGCAGACCAGGGAGGTGCGATTACTCCTGCCCACAAGGCCGTCGACCAGGGTGGCCAGAACAGGCCTGGCCGCGATGCACTCCTCTGGCCCCAGGTGCCCCTGGTGGGGACATTCAGAGACGGGGGCTGCCCGGGAGGCGCTCGTGTAGCTAGCAGCCGAGGGCGACAGGGGAAGACCCCAAGCCCAGCGGGATCCCCGGGAGGCTGGCAGGAAGGGGTCTGCCCAGGCCTGTCTGGACGTGGTGATTACCTGAGTAGGGTTGGACATTGACTCCCCAGCCCTGGGGGTCCAGGCCATAGACCTGCAGCGCTCGCTTCTGACAGAGGACCTCCAGCTCATCGATGAATTCCGTCCCGCCGTAGTACCTGCGGGGAAGGCAGGGGACGTGGGCCCACGCAGCCCACCTCTGCACTGAGGACGGAGGAGCAAGGGTGAGAACGCACACCCTGAACCCACGCGGCAGCTTCCGCCAGCGCCCAGGGGGCTGTGTCTGGCCATCTGTGAGGAGGGGCAGACAGACCTTAGGGACACGGTCACGGCTGTGTGATCACCTATGTAAGGTGCCCACAGGAGTCAATTCACAGGGGTGGGGTGGGGAACAGTGGTTGCATTCTAATAAAATTTTACTTTTGGTTGAGTAATTCCATATCAAAATTTATCATGCATTTGTATTTTTTATTATTTGTATACTAATACTTGTAATAACTCAATCCAGAAGAAATTTTTAACACTGAGGCCTTGTGGTCACAAACAGCTTTAAAAATTTTAAACTAAATGTATATACGTTTTTTGAGTATAGTGAAAACCACATAACATAAAATTTGCCATCTTATTAACCATTTTTAAGCATTCAGTTCAGTAGTGTTACATTGATAAGTACGTTCACATTGTTGTGTAACAGATCTCCAGAACATTTTCATCTTGCAAAACTGAAACTCTGTATCCACTGAAGAACAGCTCCCCACCCCCTTCCTGCCCCTGGAAACCACAGTTCTACTTTGTTCTGACAATTCCAGGAACTTCATCTATGTGGAATCATACAGTATTTGTCTTTTTTGTGACTGGTTTATTTCATTGAGCATAATGTCCTCAAGGTTTATCCATGTTGGAACAAGTGTCAGGATTTCCTTCTTTTTTGAGGCTGAAGGACATTCCAGTGTATGGATGGACCACAGTTTGTGTATCCACTCATCCAACAGTGGACACTTGGGTTGCTTCCACCTTCCGGTTCTTGTGAATAATACTGCAATGAACATGGGTGTACAAATATCTATTTGAAGTCCTGCTTTCAACACTATTGGCTAAACACCCAGGAGTGGGATTGCTGGATCATATGATAGCTCTATTTTTAGTTTTTTTTAGGAACCTCCATACTGTTTTCCATAGTGGCGGCACCGTTTCACATTCCCACCAACAGAGCACGAGGCTTCCAGTTTCTCCACATCCTCGCCAACAAGTGTCATTTTATTTTTGGATAGTAGCCCTCCTAGGGGTGTGAGGTGGTATCTCACCACGGTCTTGATTGGCATTTCCCCGGTGGTTAGCGATGCTGAACGTCTTGCGTGTGCCTGTTGGCCAGAGTCACTGTTTCATGGGTACAGAGCTTTGCTTCCACAAGATGAAAAAGTTCTGGAGATGGATGGTCACCATATCAAGAGTGTACTTAATGTCACTGAAGTTTTCACTTAAAAATGGTAACTTTTACGGTATGCGCATTTTACCACACTAAAGAGGGGGAATGTGAGGTTTGTACTCACAACACTTCGGACACCAAACGTGTGGGCTTTTTCCTCACACCGACCAGCTCTGACAACCCAGTTGCCCTACAGTTCAGTTCTGACCTAGCTGCCCCGAGTTAGCGCCAGACCTATAGGACCTGCAAGGTTCGGGCCCCCCCATTCCGTGTGATGAGCCTGGGGCTCCTGTAACACCCCCTTAGGTCCAGCAATTGCTAGAAGGACTCACAGAACTCAGGGCGGCACTCTACTTACTGTTCCCGGTTAATTATAAAGGACACAACTTGGGCTGCCCTGGTGGCACAGTGGTTAAGAATCCACCTGCCAACGCAGGGGACACGGGTTCAAGCCCTGGTCCGGGAAGATCCCACATGCCGCGGATCAACTAAGCCCGTGCACCACAACTACTGAGCCTGTGCTCTAGAGCTCACGAGCCACAACTACTGAGCCCGTGAGCCACAACTACTGAAGCCCGTGCGCCTAGAGCCCGTGCTCCGCAACAAGAGAAGCCACCACAATGAGAAGCCCATGCACCACAGCAAAGAGTAGCCCCCGCTAGCCGGAACTAGAGAAAGCCCGCGCGCAGCAACGAAGACCCAACGCATCCAAAAATAAATAAATAAAATAAACTTTAAAAATAAAGGATGCAACTCAGGACAAATGAAGAGATGCGTGGGCAGGGTATGGGGAAGGGGCTTGGAGCTTCCACGCTCCCCACCAGGCGCCACCCTCCCAGCACCTTGATGTGTCCGCCAGGCAGGACGGTCCCCAAGCCTCGCTGCTCAGGTTACTATGAGGCCTGACTGGTGAGATCGGCTGCCACGACTGACTGGGTCTCCAGCTCTCCAGTCAGGCCACCAGCCCCCATCCCGAAGCGCTCGAGGGGCCACCAAGTGTCACCCCCTTAACACACACTAGGTTCGGTGGGAAGGGCTCATCGTGAGTAACAAAAGCTGCTCAAGGGATTTGGGAGCTGTGTCAGGAATGGGACAAAGCCCCGATACCCTTCTACCATACTCTTGGGGTCCACAGAATTGAACACTTTACCTGGGGGGACTGAACGGCACGCATATTACATCTCAATAAAACTGTGATAGAAAATACAAACCAGAACTTTGTTTTTCAACTTGTATCAGGCAGCCGTTAATGCTAGATCAATATTGTTTTCAAATATTAACTCTGAACACTAATAATGTTCCAAAAGGTTAACTGACGTTACTAACAAAACATGAAAATGAAAATGGTTAATAATCACCTCTTAAAAGAGTATTTTACCATGAATAAATGAGTTAATTATCTACACATCTATTTAAGTTTTTAACGACAGTCTTATTTGGTTCAGGGAAGGAACTGAAAACCACAGAACTAGTCTTACAGCTGAAAGGGGCTTCACGGACTGATCTGGAGGGTCGCTTCTGCCTCATACTCCCTGCTCTGTGACCCAAAGGGCCTGGTCTCCCACAGCTTGCGGGAGAGCAGCCCACGCCAGGGACAGAGCTGTGGACGGGCAGGATGTCAGGCTGCACCATTTTCCAGGGGAGCAAAGACAGGACGGGATCTGAGGTCACTGCAAGTCTCCCACAGAGGCAGCTGGGAGCTGTGGCAGGAGCCACGTGGCAACAGGGCCCATCAGACTGGAGCAGCCTCCTTCACGTATTCCCCAATTCCTTATCTGAAAAGGGGTGAGCATGCTTACTTTGTGGTCGGGCTGTGGATACCTAAAAATGAGGGTGTGTGACCACGCTTCGCGCTGCTAAAATGCGAGAAAATGAGGCTCGGGGGTGAAGAAAGTCAGTGAGTGCTCAGGGAGCGGCAACGCGGCCCCGGCTGCTGTCCCTCCTCACCCCCACTTTCCCCTCCATCCCCTCCCCCCCCACACACACCCCCATCTGCCCGCGCACCCCATTCTGTTTTGGGCTAGGGATTCGGTTTTGGCCTGGGATCCAAGCCACGGTCGACTTGACCTTCCAGAGAGCGGATGCCCCTCACTCATGTCGCCATGGGAACAGGGCTGGGGTGGGGGGTACTGCTGTGGCCACGGCGCCCTCAGCCCCAGCAGGAAGCAGCAAGGCTTCTGTACCACACCTCTCTGCAGAGGCACCGAAGCATTTTCTACAAGGTCAGCTGGAAATGCTGGAACCCCCGGGGCAGCCTGGGGTTTGGAGTGTGTGTGGTTTTCCAACATCAACGGCCAATTCTCGGACACCAACTAGGTGTCCAGTGATTCCACTCGGTCCCGACACTGACCACCCAGGGTCAGCATGGACCCACGGGCTGAGGGCTCAGGCCCACAAGTCTACCCCCAACTTCAGACGTCAGGAGAAAGTCCCCGGTCACCAGGCCACCCGCACTGCTGCCCAAGGTGGCTACAAATTCTGGGGTGCTCACAACCCCCTCAGGTTCCATAATTCACTGGAACAACTCGGGACTCAGGAAAGTGCTTTACTTATGATCACTGGTCTATCATGAAGGACTCACCTTGGGAACAGCTTAATGAAGGAGACGCGTGGGACAAGGTAAGGGAGGTGTGTGACCCACAACCACTGCCCTCTGGCTGCCCCACCCTGCCCCTTCCAGGGGGTTGGGCATCGGGGGCCAAAAGTGCTGACCCTCTAATCAGTGTAGCATGGCATCTCCACTCCAAGGTGACCCTCCCTTTTCCGTGTCCTTTGGGACACAAGTGTACAAATTTGCAAAAACCTCGTGTTAATTCTGGAATCACCATCTTTGCCTCACAATGACTGTAATGAAAACCAGAAATGAATACGACTTCTTGTGGTTCTCAGGGTGAAGGAGTTGACGGAAATCACTGGGTAGGTAAACCCAGCACTTAAAATGCTGAAACGCTTTCTAGGATGAGAGGTTATTTTCACTTCGGGGTCCCCTTCCTGCTACGGAGGCGATTCCCTGCACAACCTTCCACTAAGCACTGACATTCCTCTGGAGGTTCAGCTACGGCCGGCAGCTGTTCCTTCGGGCCTGGCTGGTATTCCAGAAAGGCCCCAGGGGGACGGTCCAATGGACCCTGACTATCCTGCCCTGACAGCATCGGTGCTGCCACCCTCTGGGAATTGTAAGAGAGGAAACAGAAGGCCCCACTGTTGAGAACCTGGCTGTCTTCTGAAATTTCCCCAGTTTTAGACTCCATCCTGATTCACTGCCTCAGAGGCAGGCCTGGATGACACTCACGTACCTTTGGCCCGGGTACCCCTCGGAGTACTTGTTGGTTAGGCAAGAACCCAGGGCCTCCAGAACAGCCCGGCTGGCAAAGTTCTCGGAGGCGATCAGCTCCAGGCCGACCCTCTGCCGGTTACTCTCCTTCTTAATGATGTTGTAAACCTGACGAGAAGAAAACAGGCGCTGAACACTGGGACGTTTCAGTTGAACGTTTCGCTCTGATCAAAGCTACAACCCAGTAAAGAGAAGAGATGCTATTACACACTCATACTTTGCCCTCAGAAGCCGAGCATAACCGGACTAAGGTGATTCCCACAGCACCTAAGGAACAGAGGAAATCTTCCTCAAAGCTTTTAGCACCTGGGAAGGAATTAACAGAAAATGAATTAAGGAAAACAAAACGATGGAAGAGAAGATGATCCTTAAAACACATATCCCACAGAATTTTAAATTCTATACCACCTTGTTCTTTTCATCCCTACAGTTCACCAAGTTTTCCCTCCTGAACCTTGCTCCCCTTCCTTAAAATAAAAGATGTTTAGATAAATCCACAGAGACAGAAAATAGACCAGTGGTTGCCTAGGGCTGGGAATTTGGGGGGTGGATGGGATGACTGCTAATGGGTTTGAGGTTTCTTTTTGGAGGGATTAAAATGTTCTAAAAGTGATCGTGAGTACTCTAAAAACCACTGAATTGTGTACTTTAAATGGGTGACTTGTATGGTAGGTGCGTTCACTCATCTCACACATAAAGCTGTTGTAAAAATACGTAAATAAAAGATGCTTCTAGAAATACTCCTCTGGGGCTTCCCTGGTGGCGCAGTGGTTGGGAGTCCGCCTGCCGATGCAGGGGACACGGGTTCGTGCCCCGGTCCGGGAAGATCCCACATGCCGCGGAGCGGCTGGGCCCGTGAGCCATGGCCGCTGAGCCTGCGTGTCCGGAGCCTGTGCTCCGCAACGGGAGAGGCCACGACAGTGAGAGGCCCGCGTACCGCAATAAATAAATAAATAAATAAATAAGAAATACTCCTCTGAGTGTAAGGAAAAATGTAAGGTCAAATCTCAATGACCGAACGGTCCCCCTTTCCTCGGGAGCAGCCAGCACAGTGCTCTGCACTTCGCAGAAACTCAAATATCTAAATTTACCCTCAAAGGACTTTTAGCCACTTTGCAGCCACTGCCTATAAATCCGCCCTCTTACCTGAACCACAAGGCTGTCCCGAGCACGGTTTATTTCTAGTGAGAACTAGAGGTCTGAACAAGGGCCTCCAACATCAGAACACCCGATAGGACCTGCAGTCTCACCTCCACGTCGCTATCTTTCAGGGGCTGCGCCAGCATCTTCTCATGCGAGGACCACAAGTTGGCATCCACGGGGGCTCCGTTGACGGGAGTCGCCATCGCGCTGGTTCAGAGTCGCCTAAAAATGGGAAAACTTCCAACATTAAACTCAGTCACAGCTTGGGGCTTCCCTGGTGGCGCAGTGGTTAAGAATCCACCTGCCAATGCAGGGAACACGGGTTCGAGCCCTGGTCCGGGAAGATCCCACATGCCGCGGAGCAACTAAGCCCGTGCACCACAAGTACTGAGCCCGCACGCCACAACTACTGAAGCCTGCGCGCCTAGAGCCCGTGTTCCGCAACGAGAAGCCACTGCAATGAGAAGCCCGTGCACGGCAACAAAGAGTAGCCCGTGCTCGCCGCAACTAGAGAAAGCTTGTACGCAGCAACGAAGACCCAATGCAGCCAAAAATAAATAATTAAAAAACCCTCAGTCACAGCTCAGTACCACCTGTCAGTTCCTGAGTCGCCAAAGTACTGACACACGTGTTAGCCTTGCCCCCAGAACCACCTGGAGACCACGAGGACTCTGCTGCAGAACCACCACGAGGGCTCCCTGCTGGTTCATCAGGAGACCCACCCTCCTTGCCTCGAGGCCAAACCAGCGTCAAGGAGCCCGACATCCTCTCTTCACAGCTGAACTTATCCTAGTTGTGGCTTAGCTCTAAGCCAGCTTCCTTGAAGGCAAGGACTGAGGGTTACTTTTTAAAAAATCTCCCACAGTACCAGGCACAGCCATACAGGAGTAATATTTGCCAAGTGAGCAAGTGAATTGCTGGCTTATGTATTATTCCCTCCATTTTTCAAGTACTGAAAATGAGACTCAGGAAAGTATCTTAGCCAAGGGCTGCAGAGCCCGCTGGCCACGGAGGACAGACTCAAACCCCAGCTCACACTCCACACACCCAGAGTCCCGCCGCTGGGGCTGCAGGTAAAGCGCGCGCTGGCTGGAACCCAGGCCTCCCGTAAGGACCATGGTCAGAGGCACACGCCTGTGTTCGGCATCACTGCAGTACAGCCAACTGGACAGGAGTGTGTCTTATCATATGGCTGGAACCCAGGCCTCCCGTAAGGACCACGGTCAGAGGCACACGCCTGTATTTGGCATCACTGCAGTACAGCCAACTGGACAGGCGTGTGTCTTAACATACGTTCCCACAAAGAACGAGCATTTGAGCTCAGTGGTATTTCTGCTCAAGCGAGAGCTTAAATATTTACAGGAACTGACCTCCTTTAATCAATAGTTGGCAGCTTTTCAGTGCTCTCCATGAATTAGGTAAGTTTTCATTTCAAATTCTTTCCCTCGACAATTACTTGATGGAGGCCTGCAGCAGCCATGGCATTGGGATTGGGAACACAGTGGGAACCAAACGGGCCGAATCTTCGTGGCGCTTACTGGGGGAGGCGAGCAGGAAACAGAGCAAGCGCACTAAATGCAGGTGGATAACTGAGCCACAAGGACTAGAGCTGGGGGCGGGCTCAGTCTGGACAGTGGCTGTTGGAGGAGAGGACACCAGACGGAGCACTGGGTGTGTATACATAATATATATAATATATACATAGGTCTCTGCTCCTAAAACCCCCGCGATTCCCTGGGTGATGGGAGTATCTTTTGTCCTGATGGGGCGACTCCAGGCGGGCTCCTGGATGGGCACTGACCACCAGAAAGACCAGGCCATGATGAGAAGCTTCGCAGCACCCACACGGCCAGCCCCAACTCCTCCACAGGGGGGAGGGGGCTGGAAATGGGGTTAATGACCCATCAGGCCTCCAGGAAGAAGCCCCTATAATATCCCAGTACCACAGGGTTCGGGGAGCGAACCAGGTGGGTGAACATTCCACACCGAGTGGGTGATGCACCCCAACTCCACGAGGACCCTCCCCGGCCCTGCCCCGTGCCGCTCTCTCTCCATGTGGCTGCTCATCTGTGTCCTTTATCACATCCTTTAATAAACCGGCGAACGTAAGTGTCTCCCTGAGTTCTGTGAGCTGCTCTAGCAAATGCTCCAGTCCAGGGGGATCCTGGGAGCCTCGGATTTGTAGGCAAGCCCGACAGAAGCTGTGGGTCACCTGGGGACCCAGTACTCGCAACGGCACCTGAAGTGGGCCGGGGGAGGCTGTCTGCTGGGACGGAACACTTGACCTGTGCTAACTCTGGTTAATGTCAGAACTGAGTTCAATTTTAAGACACCAGCTGGTGTGGCAGGAGTGCTGGGTAAGGAACTGTCTGGTGTCAGAAGTGCTGTGACTGGTAGTGGGGAGAGTAAAGGGGAGGCATGGCAGAAAGAGCACAGTTTTTCCTACACAAGTACAGACAGTATAATTTGCTAGACAAATATACCCAGTAAATAAATAGGCTAATAGTTCCCCAGTCACAGGGGTCCTCCTTCATCTCTGGGAGAGCTACTGAAAAGACACCATCAGTAAACTTTAACCAGGAAATCCCTAACTGGGACTTTTGAAGCAGCCGTTGTTTTAACACGAGCACAGCGTGATTAGAAATGCGGCCACTCCTACAAGCCCAACAGTGAGTGCTGGGACTTAAATGCCACGAATGCTTCAGCAGCAGAGGCAGCACAGGCCACCGTGCCAGGGCCTCATCCACATTGTGCCAGAAGTGGAGAGACGTGGGTGCTCTGGGCATCCTGCCCACGGCTCCTCCTAACTCAAGCCCGGATTCCCACGTGCCCTCAGCAGGTGGCAAACCCACAGAAAAAGCACAAGAGACAAAACAGGCCCTCTGGTCCTAGAATCTCAGAGAAAAGCTTCTTTTAAATACCGACTACTCAAGGTTAAAGAGGATTCAAAGGTGGCAAGCAACACAGAGCAGGTATTTCTCAACCACCAAGTAACTGAAGTCCGTTTGGAGCCCCCTCTCCCCGCCCTCCCCCCAGGACAGTCAGATCTACAACCGTCCCTGAGAGGCACTCAGACCAGCTCTGCTCAGGAAGAAACAGCTCTCTGCTCTCCAGCTGTGGTCTCGCTCGTCTCACTCAGAGTCACCACCTGTGGCCCTCTGCCCTCTCTGCAATCCCTTCTCTTACCCAAGTTGCAAACTCGGAGTCCCAGTTCCTTCTCGACCCTGGGGAGGGCTCTCTGTGTGGCCGGCGCCCCCTCCTAGGCGGGCAGTGCCCCCCTGCTCTCACTGAAACCCCGTGGGGGAGTTTTCCACCATGTATCCTGTTCCCACTCAGGTCAAGTCATCCCCCAAATGGAGTGCTCAGTCCACACCCAACTTGAGTTCTAATTAAGCTTTTTTTTTTAAACCACGAAGAAGCCTGAATTCTTTATTCAAACAATAACTTCAAGGTTTTTTGACTTGTTTCAATTAAATCAATAATATCTATTACAGATATAATCTATTATATCCTGGGGCATTCTAAACTACAGTAAGAAAAGCAAAGATCCTGAATGTGACGGTTAGTTCATGTGCCAGCCTGTCAGGGCTGAGGGACACCCAGATAGCTGGCAAACAAGTGAGACAAAGATCCTGAGACTGTGCTTTTTTAGATCAGAAGGAAGATCATTTTTAACTGATCCTGTATTTAGGGAAGACATACTTACCATCTATTCTTCGAGTCCGGAGGTTGGCTGGAAAACAGTACACCCTGAACTTCTCTCATCTTTTCTGAACTGTGATATAAGTGCCCAGTTCAGTGGCATTGAATACACTCACACTGTCGTGCAGCCGTCCCCACCATCGTCTCCAGGACGCTTCCATCTTCCCAGACTGAAACTGTCCCCATTAAACATACTGTTCCCTTCTCCTCCAGCCTGGGGTTAAAAACTATTCTAGGGCTTCCCTGGCGGCGCAGGGGTTGAGAGTCCGCCTGCCGATGCTGGGGACGCGCGTTCGTGCCCCGGTCCGGGAAGATCCCACGTGCCGCGGAGCGGCTGGGCCAGTGAGCCATGGCCGCTGAGCCTGTGCATCTGGAGCCTGTGCTCCGCAACGGGAGAGGCCACAACAGTGAGAGGCCTGCGTACCGCAAAAAAAAAAACCACACACAAAAAACTATTCTAGTTTCTATCTCTATGAATTTGACTGTTTCAGGTATGTCATGTAAATGAAATCACAGAATATTTCTCCTTTGTGTTTGGCTTATTTCACATAGCATAATGTCATAAAACTTCATGCATGTTGGAGCATGTGTCAGAATTTCCTTCCTTTTAAAGGCTGGGTAATAGTCCATTGTATGGATAGACTATGTTTTGTTTATCCATCCATCCACTGCTGATACCTGGGCTGCTCCCACCTCTTGGCTATCGTGAGTAACACTGCTATGAACACGGGTGTACAAATATCAAGTCCCTGATTTCAATCCTTTTGGGTATAGGCCCAGAAGTGAAACTGCTGGATCATATAGTAATTCTATGTTTAATTCAAAATAAGCTTTTGGTATTTAGGAGCTTTACTTCACTATTATTAGCCTACAATGGATTCACTCATTCCTTCAACAAATATTTATTGAGTGACTCCTATATCCCAGGCACTGAGCTAGGCGCTAAGAATACTAGGGTCAGCAAGACAGAGGCCCTGCTTTTATGAAAAGCAGGCTCTAAAAAAGTAAACAAGAAATACGTGGGATAACTTCAGGGGGTGATGACTGTTATGAGGGCAATAAACGGGTGGCGGGCTTCTGCAGACCGGCCGTGGAAGGTGCCTGAGCTAAGATCTGAACGGCGGAAAGGAGCCAAGCTTATGAGATGGGGGAAAGAGCCATCACCAACAGCAAAGGCCCTACAATGGGAAGAGGTTTCACTTGTTGAGGGGCAGAAATCAGGAACAAAACAGAGACACAGGAGATGAGATCTGAGGGCCCAAAGGCCAGAGCTGGGATGGGAGAACAGATTCTCACCTTGACAGTACATAGCTGACAAGTTATTTCCCAGTGCACCTCTTTGAGAAATAACTGTCTGAAACTAACAACTAGAGAAACCCAATTGGAGAAGATCCAGGTTCCTTATGGAAGAGCAGGTGGACATCTCACAGGCTGGACCCCTCCCATTCTCCACTTCCCAACGGTGAAGACCACACCCCCACACCCCACACCCAGGGGAGCTGTGCTGAACTCACTGCAGAGGC